CCCCAAAACCCCAAAACCCCAAAACCCCAAGGTACATTTTATATTTTTATTTATCATATTCAAAGTGTTATAATAAATAAATTTTAATCCCTGGATCAAGATCAATAGTGGGAATAAAATATTTATGGCTTAATCATCAAATATCAGAGCTTCCATATATTTTGTTAATAATCGGCTCGAGTTAACATATATGGAGTGGCTTAGTCAAAAATTCATTGATACCACATTACTCATACGAGTAGTTTCTCTTGAATTTCATATCTATATTTTCTCCTGTAACTCCTAGAATATACACTCTTGGCTCTATATTATTTTAATTTTCAAATTCTCTTATCAGCGAGGCTGATTCTACACCTTCCATTACAGGCATATGTAAATCCATAAGAATCAACTGTATAGATGATGATTAAATTTTATATCTATCAAGAGCCTCTTATCCATTCTCAACAGTGATAATCGTAATGTTATTTTCTGAAACTAGGGGTATATGATTTAATATTTACGAAAATATGATCCTGTTTGTATCGCCATCATCAGCAATTATAATGGTTCGCTAATTAAAAGTATCATTTTTAATGTATCCCTGTGAACTACTCTCTTCTTTAATAGTTTTGAATAAGAATTAGTTTTGCTATCTGAACTAATAAGCAAGAGGCTTTAGGTAGTTCATCCCTTCATTATTCTTCAAGCTTTCATTATGATTGTTTTAAAATGTAGTTTCCCCATCTGTAAATTTTCCAGGTGTCATTGATTAAGAATTGCCTAAATTTGCATCTGAATTTTCTGGAATGAAGTGTGATCTGAATTCTCTACTCTCAATCATCAGTAAACCGGAATCATGTCCACCTGATTCTATATATCTAGTGCCTCCTGCTTTTTTATTGAAATTCGGAGTACATATACTGATTTCTCTATCTAAAAAATTTTTATTGCTAACCTACTCTAGCACTTATGAATTGTGCTTCTCTCTGAATAAGAATTCAGGAGTTAAGAGATCACGTGCCTTTAAACTGTCAAATTTCTTTTGTGACATATATTCCGTATTTTTTCTGTGTCTCAGCCTCATATCTTTAACTTTATTTTGCTATTTCATTATCAAGTGAGGCAAAAGTGATCTTTCACGATTTTAAATCTCTTATAAGATATTTTTTAAGGTGTTCTACTTGACTGGCTTCTTCATGATAATTACTCTATCTTATAAGAATTTATTTCTTTGTCTTTAATTAATGTCTAGATTAGTAAGTACTAGCATAGTTAGAGTTTTTTAAGTCCTAAATTCTATTTCTTTTTTGCATTGCTTGATTTGCTTTATTGTCTCTAGCTAAGTAAGATAAAATTGGTCAGCGTCAACAATACAGACATTAAATTTTTGAACATATTAGAGTTTTCTAATGAATTCATCATAGTCAGAGGAAAATATATGAGGGCATTGCAATTTAAACAGAAATTTCCTTAAGATTTCCTTGTTAAATTCATCTTGAATCAGAATCAAAGCACTTATCTTAAGAAGATTAGTCTCCAGCTAAGTTTGATTGTTGTTGACAGGACTTAATTCGATGTTATGATCGTAGCTTACACCCTGAACTGGAATACAAATTTAGAAAGTAGTTCCCACACCTGGAATGCTCTTCAGATTTATCTTGCCCCTCATAAAATTTAATAATTTCTTGGTAATCCACAGTCCAAGACCTGTCCCTCCGAATTTTTTGCGAATGCTGTTATTTGCCTACTAAAACGGATTAAATAGCTTCTTCTGTTCATCATCGTCAATACCAATACCTGTATCTTAAATAGTTATTTATAAATAGCCGTACTTAATCGATTTACTGATTATTTTTGGGTCACTTATAATCGATGGAGCGTCACTAGGCACTCTTCTCATAGTTTATGATGATTAATTGTTGACTATATCTGGGCAAAGATTAAACGGATCAGACTGAATTTTAATCTGGTGAAAGTTATCACTTTTATTTTAAACTTATGATCGAATATCTCTATTGGGTTATCTCTCAATATTTATATCTGAATGAGGTCTTGCTCTATTAGTATTTGCTTATTTCATATTTGCTATTTTCCCGCTTAGAGTAAATTCCTCTTATATCTTTATTTCTTCTTCTCGTTCTCTTTCCTAGTTTTAATTAATAAAGTTATTCTATTACTATCCTCCCTAAACTTACTATTGACTATTTATGTTGTTATTTAAAATTTTGATGGTATCTTATTAGTTTGAAGGTGATACATGTTGCTTGATTATTTCATCATTATTTTACTCTATTCTCATAATACTACTAGTTTACCTTTTATTTTAAGCCAAATCTCTAGACCTATTGGCCAATCTAAAATTACAATTGGCTTCAATTTCATACTCTAAATTTATTCTAAATTCATTTTCTCTATCATTCTAATCAAGAGGAATTTATTTAATTTCTTCGAAGTTTTCATCAACTATTCGCTATCTATTAGGATTCAAGGAACTTGAGGGTGTTTATTGATTTGACAATTAGATGTTTTATATCAATATATTTCTTAAGGGCGGAGCTTTATGGTATCTAAAGAAAGACACTGGGTTATTACTTCCCCAAGCTTCAAGTCCACAGCATCTAATATCAACATTCTCATCAATATCATCATCCAAAAATTATTCGTTTGTGTTTTACCTAGCTAATATATCATTTTGTTGTGAAGGTAGTAGTCTTTCTCTATCAATTTCATTTGCATTGTCTATTTAAGGTGTAACTGAATTGTCAAGTTAAATCCTATTTTCCTAACCTCCTTTCTATAATCCAAGAGTAATTTATTTCAAGAGACTCTCCCCTCGTCTTGAAAATAAATTTTAACTTTTTGCTCTGTTGAAAGTTTCAAATTAAGCATGGCAGAGGTCATAGCCATCTGGATCTCCATTAATGTCAGTGCATCTGCAGTTCCTCATAGCTTAGTGATTTGATTAACTCTTTTACAGCATGTGCTTTGAATTTGATTAAGATCTTTACATATTTTGCTGCACTGATCTAATAATTCTTTATTCTTCTTCATTATTTATTCCTCTTCCTAATTGGTTTTGATCAAAAGAATCTAGAAGTTACTTTTCATTCGACAATTGCTATTCTCTCTATCTCTGACTAGAGATAAAATTTAGACTATTAGATCTTTCATTACTAGATTAAAAATCCTAAAAATACTGATTAGGTATTTGCATTAAAGATCTCTTAATAGAAAACTTTTTATTTTATGCTCCTGATAAATACTTCAAATCTGAGCTATTTTCACTTTCATGAGATGTGATATTGAGTAACTCGTTTTTAAACTCATGGAAATTTTCCGGAGCAGAGTTTCTCTTTACTAAGTTCTTATTGTTTTAATCCTCATTGTTTAGCTCTGGTATGAAATTAACTATCACTCTCACGAAGCCCTTTTAAGTGAATTTAACAGCATTTGAAATTAAGTTCAGTATTATTTGAGTGAATCTTGGGTTATCTAAATACACGTAGTCTGGGACTTCGGGAGCAAAATAATACTAAAGCTAAAGTTTTTTCTCATTGGATTTAAATTCCACAAGTTCTATGATTGACTTGAATGTTTACTTGATGAGTGTGTATTGAAGATCAAGTTCTACTTTATTTGCTTCAAACTTAGCTATATCTAGAATGTTACCAATAAGATTCATTAAAATATTAGCCGAATACTAGGCTATCTGTACATTCTTCTTATCATCTATTGATAAGCATTTGCTATTACTTAGAAGTTCGACTCCTCCAATGACTGAATTTAATGGTTATCGGAGTTCATGAATCATTGCAGCTTAGAATAATTCTTTCCTCGCAATAACTTCATAGAGATGCTCAATTTTCTTTATTAATTTTTTAACAGAGGTCCGAGATGCTTTGTGGAGAGCCATTATTACCAATATATGCATTAAATTGGAATAAAAATTTGAACAATTGCTCAATATTATTGTGTAATACATCTCATATGTCGCTTCTTTGAAAAGAATCATAAAAAGTATCTATAAAGTGACACAGCTAATAAAAAATCCTTCAAGGAAATAATTCATTTTAGTAAATTTTTTCCAATTGAAAAATAAGTAAATCAAGTTTTGTGTCATCAAATATGGCAACAAATAGCGAAGAGCATTTTCATTTAAAGTCTAGTAGGAAATCAAAACCAATATTTATCCAACAATTAAATTAAACTTCACTGATTATTCTATCTAGTATTTGATTAGCAAGGTAAAGTTCAATGAAGTCCAAAAAAATAAGTTAGCAATGATAATGATATAGTTTCTTGAACTATCAAAAAGACTTAATAATAGAAATTAAACATTGATTCCTATCTACAGTAATGTCAATATCAAACGTTTCTCATTGAAAGAAAAAAAATCCTCTGATTCATAGAATTTATCAAGATTAGATTATGTATGAACAAGAAAAGCATCATATTTGGAAAACTAGCTTTGCAGGGAGGAAGATAGTTCGTTTGCCAGCAATTCGTAGGGAACACTCATCTAAGTCAAGTGCGATCTCTGTCAAAGATAATTTAAGAATATATAATTTTCTTAAAAATAATTCACTTTACTTATCTTTTGATATATCTAATTTTTATTTTAATGCTAAAATCAGTGAAATCTCTAAGAACGGGGTTTTGGGGTTTTGGGG